TTTGGTTTTGGCCCCGGGGACCCAAGGAAGGGTGGTTGTTCCCCGTTTTTTTGGTTTTTTCTTTGGAAAAGTTCCCCGGGCCGGGAAAAACCCCGCTTTTTGGTTCGGCCCGGGTTTTTGGGGGAGGGGGGGCCCTGGTTTAAAGGCTTCCGCCGGGGTTCCCCAGGGGGGCCCCCCCCCCCCCCCCCCCCCATTTTGGATCACACAGGGGCCCTGCCAAGAGGGATACCCCGCAGAGCGCTGCCCCCCCCACCCCCCCCCCACCCCCTCTCTCCGCCTGGGCTGGACGAGCCCTTGACCTGGGCGGCCCTTCTCTACGCAGGGGCCAAGCTGGTCACAGCAATCCGGTGGTTTGTAAAGAGGAGGCGGCGGGGGGGCGGAGGTCGCGCGGGAGGGGCAGGAGGAGGAGAGGCCGGGGGGGAGAGAGGCGCGGCGGCGGCGGGTGCCCGGTTTCGGAGATGGATCGTTAGGGTTTTGGTTCGGAGTAGGCGAGGGGGGGATACGGGGAGAGGTTAAGCGATTGTAGCCGAGAGCATTTTTGCTGGCTACTGAGGTTTGTTTGCGACGGATACAGACAGCCTTTTTCGTCGACTACTTCCCGTGTTTTCGTATATACAAATGCGACCTATTGTAAGGTGGATGGCGCTTTTTCGCCGTTGGATAGGAAGATGGAGAGAGCGCGATGTGGAGATGCAGAGATTGAGGAGGGAGGGGAGGGGGGGCATGCCCTATCCAAGCCAGTCAACCTTGATATCTTGGTGTTCTTTTCCCCGTCATGCGGTACTTTAAATGAAGAATGCTAACCCGACCTCGGGCTTTCTTCGTGTTTGGTAATTGGCATGTATAGTGCATCTGTGTGTGCAGATAAGATGTTTGTTTGTGGGTGTTTTTGCTCCGTTTTTTTTTAGCTGCGGTGGATAGACCGCACTCTCGGCGACCGGAGGACCAGTCGCAACAGTTGTTTGTAACACACTTCTATTTTCTGAGAACACCACAGCAGCAGTGGCAAGCAATGACGGACGGATAACAGACAGCGCCCACACTCAACACCCTCTGGTGTGCATACTAGTTTTGGCTGAGGCTTGGGGTTAGGCCTAGTTAATGTTGTGGGCTACAAATGGCCGCCGCTATGTAGGTTTTAGTGTAGGGGTTCATAACCGGGCTCACAACCACAGTAGTGCCCAAGTTGAAATGTTTGAAACAACGATGAGCATGAAGTTTTTGTCTGCCGAGTTCTCAAGTGCGGGCGCTGGTTTTTTCTGGCTGTGAGGACGTGAGCTGGAAGTCGCATCTTGCGCGGTGAAAGGGTGTCTTGGGCGCGGTCTAGTCGCTCAAGAGTGTAGGCCTCTCGCCCCTGTCTCTCCGTGATGGCACGTCACTGACTTCCCTCCCTCTGCCTGATGGAGGCCGTGGCAGCGTAACTTTTTCTCAACTCTCGAACCATCATTGGATCAATCGGAGTGTGGTCGAACCTGATTGCGAAGAGAACCGATCGTGTAAATGACAGATGGAACAAAAGGACAAGGATGACAAGGATTCTGCCCGTCCCGGAGGCCAGACCAACAATACAAGTCCCTTGTGGTTTCGTCTTGAGATTTTGCGCTCTACGGCGAAAATGGTCTTTACCTCTGTGCCACGGGCGAAGAACAATAAAACTGCGTCAAGATGTCCGCTGCGTGTCTGCAATCAAATCTTCTCGAACGCGAAGAGCAAGGCATAATGCTTCGCCGAAGCACTGACAGACAGGGCAATCGATAGAAAAGGCTGCTCGCCCGCCCACAGGCAAAACCAATGGATGAGTGTTTCGTGATGGTGCAACGGACGGCTGTATCGACCACAGCGGGAGTCGGTCGTACCGCGAAGCTCGGTCAAAGGAAACACGAAACGCCGTCTCTGTCTCTGTCTCTCCACTTGCGTATTTAGGGCTTGGGAGCAAATTGTTGCTTTGGCCTCTTCCTAGCGATGGCCGGCACTGCGGGCTGCGAGTGTTCCGCGAACCAGCAGAATTCAGACACCCGTGTTGATGTTATGGCAGGCTTCGCCGTGCTCTCGCCGATCGGCGAGGCACTCACAAAACAACAAGTGAACCCAGCAGCAGCAGCAGCAGCAGCAGCAGCAGCAGCGGCGGCAAAGCAACAATTTTGCAAGGAGCTCCGCCGCTCTGGCGTGCACACTGACAGCAGCGCTTCATTTCGTGTTTTTTTAAGAAGAGTTGTTTTCTCAGTAGCCCTCAAAACACACAACACGCCTCTCCCCCCCAAGAGAGAACGCGCCTGCGTCGAACCATCCATCCGCAAACTGCGGCGGCAGCAACAGCAGAAGCCGCTACGACCGACCGGCACCAAACTTAACCCTACCAAATCGGCAACATGTCAGACCCGCGCCTTCCAGACCGAAAAATCAACCGATAGCAATTGCGCCGCACTAGGGCGTTCTGCGTCGGAGATGTCGTATGTCGTAGGAGTGAAAAGTAGACGTTGCGTTACGGTTTGGCTTAGTTGTTTTGCGCCTTCTTGATCTTGGCCGCCTTCTCCTCAAGGATGGTGAGCTTGACGCCCTTGCCCTTGGGGAGCGAAACCTGGTCACAACAGCAGCATAGACGACAACATCGGGAAGAGACGCGGTGGTGTTACAAAGCGGTCTGACCTCTCTGTGGCGAAGCCCAAGACCTACCAACGCCTACGTCAACAGGGGAAACCCACCCTGTCCAGAGTGCCATGGTACGTGAACGTTTTCAGGAATTATTTTCGCCGGGCTTCGAGGTCAGGAACTAAGGGCCGCTCATCATGTACCGTTAGGTTGCGAGTCAGCGCACAGGGGTGCGAACGATTTTCAAAGCGTCATTTCTCCACAACCAGGAGGATACCACTGTCGAAAAGGGCGGTTTTGAAAGTAAATCTTCGAGAGCTTTCCTGGGAAGTATCAGTTGGCGCCCGCACCCTCCTGGTTGTGGAGAAATTGCGCTTTGAAAATCGATCGCACCCTTGTGCGCTGACTCGCAACCTTA